TAACAGGAAAATTTTTGGTGTTTTACATTTTATCTTTTGATATTAGCTGTTGGTTTGAGATAGATTTAAATTTTTTTCCTGATATAGAAATACTTAATCTATTCCTACTTTTCTAGAGCTTTTGTTCATTAAAATAATTATTGAATGTTTAATTTCACAGAATACTGGTTTTGTACCTATTTGAATTGTCCTTTCTCCTATTTATACAATGAACTATATTAATAGATTTCCTAATGTTTAACTAGTTCTCCTGTGATAAATCCAAATTGGGCACAGCATCATTATGATCCTTTAAAAATGTGGTTGAATCTGATTTGCTTATATTTTGTTTACAATCGTTACATCTGTACTTTTAAGTGAGATTGATAGGAGGTTTTGAATTTTTTTTTATGTTGTGTATGTTAGCCAGGAGTCGGTGTCCAGGTTTCTGTTAGTTTCATAAAATGAATTGGGAGACATTCCATTTTTCCCAGTGTTCGGCAGCATTTATACAGTATATAAATGATTTATTTCTAGAGCATTTGAAAGAATTTACCCTCAAAGCCAATTAGACATCTTTCTTGGTAGTATATTGTTGATAACCTAAAAAAAGCTCCTTTGTGATTTGTGATCAGTTAAGGATTTTAACTTCTTCTTACATCAGTTTTGAAAATTTCCTAGAAAATCACCCATTTCACCGAGATTTTTAAAATGTTTTAGCCTAGAGTTGTATATACAGTCAGTTCTGCAATAACACCACATATGCATTCCTAAAAACCACTAAATCACACAGTGAAAACCATGGGGCTTATGGGAAAAATGGGATTAGGGGCATAATCCTCAAAAACTGTCAGTGACGCATTAAAAAAAAAGATATGAACCTACTAAAACAATAGTGTGATTTCACACTTCATACCCATTTGTGAAATACATAAATACTACAACAAATATGGCACTTTATATTGAAAAAGACCTGAAATTTGCTTGTGGAAGTGGGCACTGGAAAAGTTGCAGCTTCAGAATTGTAAAGTGACCAAAGAGGAAATCTAAAATGGGACAAAGCTGCGACAGGAGATCTGGGTGGGTGGGGCTCATAACACATCCAGGGAGCTGAGGTAGCTAGAAAATGCTCTGGATGAGTGCACTGTGGGTTTCTTTCTTTCTTTTTTTTTTTTTTTAAGATTTTATTTATTTATTTGAGACAGAGAACGAGAGACAGAGAGCATGAGAGGGAGGAGGGTCAGAGGGAGAAGCAGACTCCCTGCCGAGCAGGGAGCCCGATGCGGGACTCGATCCCGGGACTCCAGGACCATGATCTGAGCCGAAGGCAGTCGCTTAACCAACTGAGCCACCCAGGCGCCCTGCACTGTGGGTTTCGTGTATTCCTAGTGACTGGGCTCGGCTGGGTGCAGTGTTTTGCATTCACCTGGTATTCCCCTTGAACATCTCTCACTAACACCTTAAAGCACTGATTTCCAGGAGGTTCCAGAAGGTAGGTTTATAGCAAGTTCCGCTGCTGTGACACCACAGTGACTTCTCTGCCATTCAGTGGGCCATGACTTGAGTCCTCTCCAAAAGGTTTGGAACTCAGCCCTAGGAGTGGTAGCTGCCTTTATATCTGTTATTCTTGCTAATCATTGTCCTCTGGAATAATCCACTCTGATGCTCTCAGATAGATACCCTTTTCCTACAGTGGGAATTTGTCATCCCAAAGTCTTCCCATTATAGAGTCATAATATATCAATAAAACAACTACAATGAACACCAAATACATTTTGTGAAAATTTAAAGTGAATGACAAAATGTAAATTCTCTCACTGATGGCTTTTGGATATGGTGAATTATTACCTAAAACAGTTGTGAAAAAAGTAAGTCCTCAGATGTGTAAGCCAGACTTCATGCAAAGGCCTGGGGTGGGGGTAGAGGGTTCTTGGCACCCCAGAATGGAATCTGCCTGCTTACAGGAAGCTGTATTGGTTCCAAAGCACAGAAAGTGAGACTCTATGATTCCAGGGGCTGAGAAGTGCGGGATGGGGGACTAGGACTTAAAAAGGTGGATTTTGAGAGACACAGGGCCTGGAAGAGTTTGCAGTACCAGGCAGAACATGCATTTATGCCACATAACAATTTCCATGCCCTTTCTTGGAAAGTTGCCAAAGTTAACTCACTCTTTAATGTTGGAAGACCTAGGAGTGCCTGGGTGGCTCAGTCCTTCAGCATCTGCCAAAGACGCTGAATGACTGAGCCACCCAGGCGCCCCTAAACCTTTATTGTTTTATGCTGTACATGGATCCGTGGTTCATACTGGATATTTAAGAGAAAAGTCTAGGCTGTCATGGATCCATTCACGGGGTACAAGATTCTGACTGTGGGATTTGTCCTTCTGGCTTGGGGGAGTAACATGCTTGCCTCTCATCATTGGCTCCTGTGTTCTCTCATTGTGCAACCTAAGGTTTGGATTGATTAATGCTTTAATCTGGGTGAGGGGACTGAGGGCAGCTCTCAATCTCCTTACCTGTGCCCCTGTGGGACTCCAGGGGCAGCCATTGCAGGGTGGGACATCATCCTTAGGAGGAGGGTGAGTGGTTGAGTATTAGAGTCTATTAGGGAATTCAAAACACAAATCCAGAAGAGATTTTTCAAGGAAAATTCTATGGAGGAAAAAAAAAGCAATGCCCATGGTTCTCCAATCTCCTCACCCTTCAAAAGTGTTTCCTTTCTGTCCCATTGTGAGAGAAAGAGATGGAAATCCATGGTGTCCAGTCCTGCTTTTTAGAAAAGAGGAAAAAAAAAAAAGGCAAGGATTCAGGGGAAAAAAAAAAAAAAATCCCTGTCTGGAAAGAGTGGGTAATTGGCTGTATCTTTTGGAAACATGGGTATGGCAAGAAGCTAAATTATCTCTGAGAGAAGGCATTTCCCTGTTTGTCCATAAGTCAGAACTGGAGTTCTGGGGCTTAATGTAGCTACAGATGCATTTTGTTTGGACCGTTTAAACTCATGTTTAAAACAGTTGAATGGGTTGTTGATAGTTAAACAGTAGGGGCTTTCAAATGAAAATATGGATTTCTGGTTCCACTTAAGTGGTTGATCTGGCAAGATTGGTCTTTATTCTAAAAGTATGAAGGAGTTTGGCAGGGAAACCCCAATTCCTTAATAATCTGGTCCAAGGAAAGTGTTGATTTCATTTCCAGAGTAACCTTTCACTATGAGAAAGAGCCAGACTTCTTGGTGTAGCAGCCAAAACTTTACACCTTTTAAAAAAGTTGAACTATAGGGCGCCTGGGTGGCTCAGATGGTTAAGCGACTGCCTTCGGCTCAGGTCATGATCCCAGAATCCTGGGATCGAGTCCCACATCGGGCTCCCCCTGCTCTGTGGGGAGCCTGCTTCTCCCTCAGCCTCTGCCTGCTGCCCCCGCCACCGCTTGTGCTCGCTCTCTCTGTCAAATAAATAAATAAAATCTTAAAAAAAAAGAAGTTGAACTATAACATGCATGAAAAAATATAAATCATAAGTGCTCAATGAAATAAAGATAACACACCTGTGTAATCATCACTCAAGTCAAGAAATAGACATTACCAGGATCCCCAGAAACTTCCTTTTACGCCTTCATCCCCATCACTACCACCCTCTCTTCTTTCCAGATATAAACATTATAGTTTATTTTTGCCTGATTTTGCATTTTATAGAAATACAAATATATTATGTACTCTTTTATGCATGTCTTCTTTTTTTTTTTAAAGATTTTTATTTATTTGACAGAGACACAGGGAGAGAGGGAACACAAGCTGGGGGAGGGAGAGGGAGAAGCAGGCTTCCCACTGAGCAGGGAGCCTGATGCGGGGCTTGATCCCAGGACCCTGGGATCATGACCTGAGCCGAAGGCAGACGCTTAACGACTGAGCCACCCAGGTGCCCCGCGTGTCTTCTTTTTTATCATTAAGAAGATGTGTCTTCTTTCATTCAATATTTTTGTGAGATTCATCTATATTGTAGTGTTCATTTTCATCTCATAGTACTCTAGTGCATGAAAATACAACAGTGTATTTATCATTTTTTTAAATTATTACTATTAGAGAGAGAATGGGAGAGAGAGCACAAGAAGGGGGAGGGTCAGAGGGAGAAGCAGACTCCCCACTGAGCAGGGAGCCTGATGCGGGACTCGATCCCAGGACTCCAGGATCATGACCCGAGCCGAAGGCAGTCGCTTAACCAACTGAGCCACCCAAGTGCCCTGAATTTATCATTTCTATGGTTGATAGACAATTGAGTTTCAGTTTTTGGCTATTTTAAATATTGCTACTATAAATCTTCTTGTCCAGTCTCTTGGTGTGCATATATATGCATGCCTTTCTGTTGGGTATACACCAAGAAGCTAAATTGCTTAGTCCCAAGGTATACTATATGTTAAACTTTGGTACTTATTGCCTAGCAGTTTTCCAAAGTGGTTTTCCCAATTTGTTCTCTTACCAAAATAATGTGAGGGATTCGGTCGCTTCACATCCTCATGAACATTGGTATCGTCTGTCTCTTAGTTTTAGCCTTCCTTTGAATATGTAGGGGTACTTCACTGTGGTTTTAATTTTCTTTCTTTTCTTACTAATTACATTGAGCATCTATTCATATATTTATTCATCATTTGAATTTCCTCTACTGTGAAATGCCTGTTATCTTCCCATTTTTAATTGGGTCATTTGTCTGTTTCTTATGAATTTGCAGGAATTCTTTATAAATTTTGGTTACAAGCCCCTTCATTTGTTGTGTATGTTGCAGATATCTTCTCCAACTCTACATCATGCCCGCCTTTCACATGAATAGTGTCTTGATGAAAATGACTTATTTTTTATTTCAAAATTTTATTGTGATAACACAGTGTGAGATCTACCTGCTTAACAATTTTTAAAATGTACAACACAGTATTATAGGAACAATGTTGTACAGCAGATCTTTAGAACTTACTCATCTTGCTTAACTAAAACTTTATGCCCATTGATTAGTAACTCTCCATTTCCTGTCTCTCTAGCTCCTGGCAAACACCATTCCACTCTTCAATTCCGTGAATTTGACTATTTTAGATACCTCCTGTAAGTAGAATCATGGAATATTTGTCTCTCTGTGACTGGCTTCTCTCACCTAGCATAATGGCCTCAAGGTTCATCCATGCTGTCTCATATTGCAGAATTTCCTTCTTTTTAAGGCTAAATAATATTCCATTGTATATACATACCATGTTTTCTTTATCCTTTCATCTGTCAGTGGATATTTCCACATCTTGAATACTGTGAATAGTGCTGCAATTATCATAGGAATGATAATATCTCTTCAAGATCTTGATTTCAGGGCGCCTGGGTGGCTCAGATGGTTAAGCGTCTGCCTTCAGCTCAGGTCATGATCCCAGGGTCCTGGGATCGAGCCCCGCATCGGGCTCCCTGCTCAGTGGGGAGCCTGCTTCTCCCTCTGCCTCTCTCTCTGTCTCTGATGAATAAATAAAATCTTAAAAAAAAAAAAAAGATCTTGATTTCAATTATTTTGGATACTCAGAAGTAGGATTTCTAGGGGACCCTGGGTGTCAGTTGGCTAAACGGCCAACTATTGATTTTGGCTCGGGTCATGATCTCAGGGTCCTGGGATCGAGCCCCCTGTGGGGCTTCATGCTCAGCAGGGAGTCTGCTTAAGGATTCTCTGTCCCTCTCCCTCGGCCCCTCCCCCTGTTCATGCTCTCTCTTTCTCGCTCTCAAATTAATAAATCTTAAAAAAATAAGTATGATTGCTAGATCATATGGTAGTTCTATTTTTAATTTTGCGGGGGGGACATCTACACTATATTCCACAGCAGCTGCACCACTTTTTCATTCTTATTAACAGTGTTGCAAGTGTTCCAATTTCCCCACATCCTTGACAACACTTTGTTTGGGGTTTGTTTGTATTTTTTTTTTGTAATAGTCATCCTGACAAGTGTGAGGTGATATTGTGGTTTTGATTTCCATTTTCCTGATGATGAGTGATGTTGAGCATCTTTTCATATACCTGTTGCCTATTTATATGTCTTCTTTGGAGAAATGTCTGCTCAAGTCCTTAGCCCATTTTCTAACTGGGTATTAGTTTTTTTGTTATTGAGTTGTTGGAGTTTCTTATATATCTTGGAGCTTAAGTCCTTACCAATGATACGGTTTGCAAATATTTTCTCCCACTCTATGGGTTGCCTTTTCACTCTGTTGGTTGTTTCCTTTGCTGTACAGAAACTTTTTTTTGCCTGTGCTTTTGGTGTCATATCCAAAAAAGTAATTGCCCAGACCAATGTTAAAAAGCTATTTCCCGGGCGCCTGGGTGGCTCAGTCGGTTGAGCGACTGCCTTTGGCTCAAGTCATGATCCCAGCGTCCTGGGATCGAGCCCCGCATCGGGCTCCCTGCTCAGCGGGAGGCCTGCTTCTCCCTCTCCTACTCCCCCTGCTTGTATTCCTGCTCTCGCTGTCTCTCTCTGTCAAATAAATAAATAAAATCTTTATAAAAAAAAAAAAGCTATTTCCCTAAGTTTTATTCTAGTAGTTTCATGATTTACGGTCTCGCATTTAAGTCTTTAATCCATTTTGCATTAATTTTGTATATGGTATGGTGTTCCTTTTTTAAATGGAAATAAGAATAGTATAGTACTTCATGGATTTTGTAAAGGAGTAAATGAAATAATACATATAAAGCACAAAAAAAGAGTGCCTGGCATTTTGTAAGTTATAAATGTTAGCTCTGTTCTGTTTTTCCTTTTTCCTTACTGCCCTGTCCGCATAGCCCCCATGCTGCCCTGGGATTCTGGGCCCAAAGCCCTCTGGCTTCTACCCCTGGGATGTGTGGTACTTGGTGTCCTGCTCTCACCACTCCTCCACTGTTGACAGCGTCCTGGGCTGCCTGGCTGGCCACGGCCACATGATGGGGGACTCCACACTTCAGCAGTCGGGGGAGTACCTGGGAGACACCATGTGCTATGAGTGGCTCTGGTGGGGGAGAGGGCAGGACACCTGGAGCCTCATGAAGGAAAAGGTGAACAAGGAGGGTTCTGAGAGACAAGGCTCCTACATTTTCAATAGAGAGGTGGGGCAGGATGCTGGGACTTTTCCAAGGGCAAGTGAGCAAAGGACTCTGAGCTAGGAGAATATAATTATTACTGTTGAGCTGCCTTTCCAGTTTAGGTAACCAGATGTTATATAATGAGCTCAAGTGACAGCATTTTAAAAAGCCTTCAAATAATACAATTTCTGATAATACAAAAAGGTCCCCCCACTTAGTTAATAAATAAAATCCCCATTTACTCTCTTAAGTAAAAGTAATGTAAACAACATGAAATTCAAACTTTTGTCCCACACTCCCCCTCAATTTCTTTTTCTCTTCTCTTTCTTTCTTTCCCTTGTTGAGCAGCAGCTGGTAGAGCAAATTGTGGTTCTCTTAGATCCTAAAACCTGAGTGACTTCTGCTCAGTGCATGCAGTTTCCTCAGCCCCTCCAAACTTAAATTCATCCAAACCCCAAATCCTCTGTGCATACCATTTTTCTAAATAGTCAAGATCAATGGAAAACAGAGAACTATCACAAGACCTGTGAGTTACCTCCCATTTAGAAAAGAAAAACAAACATTTAGCATCTCTAACAGTTATATAGAATAAAAGTATGTCCCAAGAACGCAGTACCTCATACAAAGTTATTACCAATCTCCAAGATATCTGGGGAAGAGGAAAGTAGAATGAAAAAGCTAGCCATAGTTCAGTGATCATACTCTCTGTGAACTCAGTTGTAAAGTTAGCAACAAGCTAATTGTAGCTCTTGCTTACCATGATTTTGAAGAACATCCATCTAAGCATATTAACTCCCATCTCAGATGGGAAGCTCAGATACATTCCTGTCTTCCTGAAAAGTTTAGAAATTTGCCATACTGTCATCCCTCAGTCACTAGGCTAGTTGGAGTTTCTCCTTTATTTTAAACAGTTTATTGAAGTGTAATTGACAAGCCATTAACACATATTTAAAGTGTGCTATTTCATAAGTTATAACATATACATCCACCTGGAAAACAGTCTTCACAAATAAGATCATTAACATACCCACCAACCAGGAAAGTTTCCTTGTGGCCCTTCCTAATCCTTCCCACTCCTCCATTCCCACTCCCTTCCCAGGCAACCACACATTTTCTTTCTGTCTTTTTAGCTTAGTTTGCATTTGCTAGAACTTTATACAAATGTAACCATACAATATGTACTCTTTTCTCTGTGTGGCTTCTTTTGCTCAACATAATAATTTTGACATTCATCCACATTTCTGCATGTGGCAATAGTTCATTCCCTATTTACTGCTGTGTAGTATTCCATTGTATGGATATACCATTACTTGACTATCCATTCATCTGTCGATACTTTCCAATTTAGCTATTACAAATAAAGCTGCTATGAATATTTGTGCACAAGTCTTTGTATGGATATATGTTTCATTTCTCTTGAATAAATACCTTAAAGTGGAATGGCTAGAGATCATATGGTAGGTGTATGCTTAACTTTTTAAGAAACTGCCAAAATGTTCTCCAAATTAGTTGTACCATTTTATATTGCCACCATCACTGGGTAGGACTTATCGTTGCTCTATATCCTTTTTTTTTTTTTTAAAGATTTTATTTATTTATTTGAGACAGAGAGAATGAGAGAGAGAGAGAGCACATGAGGGGGGAGGGTCAGAGGGAGAAGCAGGCTCCCCGCCGAGCAGGGAGCCCGATGCGGGACTCGATCCAGGGACTCCAGGATCATGACCTGAGCCGAAGGCAGTCGCTTAACCAACTGAGCCACCCAGGCGCCCTCGTTGCTCTATATCCTTGCCAACACTTGGAAGGGTCAATCTTTTATTTATTTATTTATTTATTTAAGAGAGAGAGAGAGCAGGGGGAGAGGGGCAGAGGGAGAGGAGAGAGAGAATCTTAAGCAGGATCCATGCCCAGAGCAGAGCCTGATGCAAGGCTTGATCTCACGACCCTGAGATCATGACCTGAGCTGAAATCAAAAGTTGGATACTTAACTGATGAGCCACCCAGGTGCCCCTGGAAGGATCAATCTTTTAAATTGTAGCTGTACTAATAGATATACAGCGTTCATAATGGCCCATTCAAGCATTTCTTATGATGGTGGCTTTAAAAATCTTTATCAGATAATTCCAACATCTGAGTACTCTTTTTTTTTAAAGATTTTATTTATTTTTTAGAGAGCAAGCCAGAGAGAAACAGCATGAGAGGGGAGAGGGTCAGAGGGAGAAGCAGGCTCCCCGCTGAGCCGGGAGCCCGATGTGGGACTCGATCCCAGGACCCTGGGATCATGACCTGAGCCGAAGGCAGACGCTTAACCATCTGAGCCACCCAGGCGCCCTGAGTACTCTTGATGTTGGCACCTGATGATGATCTTTTCTCATTCAAGTTGTGATTATCTTGGCTGTTGGTATGATGAATGACTTTCTGTCATTTACTGGACATTCTGGGTATTATGTTCTGACACTCTGGGTCTTATTTTACCTTTGTTCTCTTTAGCAGGCAATCACCTTGTTTAGGTGTGGCATGCAGATCTAGGTGGGGTGTATATTCAGTTGTCTTGGGGGCCCTACTGATGCCAGCCCGGTGACCATGGGGCATCAACTCTCACTGTCTCTTTGCCACTGGGTGAAGGTGGAAGTTCAGCTCCACACTTTGCCCTACTGACACCAGGGGCAGGGAGGCACAGTGCCAACTAGCATTTCTTCGCTTCACCTTGTCTGCCATGTTGCTTCCAGGGAGGAGTGGAAGCTCAGATCCCTCCTGGAATCAGTTTTATCTTAATCCATGTATATGTTACTTTGAATTCTTTACATACTACAAAGAACCAAGTAGATACCTTCCAAGTGGAAATATTCTTTCAAAACACGCAGTAGATGGGATAAATAGTAGAATGGATACCACTTTAGAGCAAATAGTAAGCTAAAAAATTATTGTAGAATTCAGGTTCTCTCCCTCAACTCTATAGTGTTGTTTAGAATTCTCTTTACCCTGTTATAATTAGTAATTCTTTACATTAACTTTCCCTGTTCAAATT